CACCGGAAGTTATGAAGATTTGGATGACTCGGAAGGTAATGGTTCCACTGGGATAGTGTACACTCAGCGGGTATGTTGAATTTTAAATACGAAGAACTTTTCATACGAAGTTTCTCTCAAACTTTTTTTTTGGGAAGATGAGTGGTTAGTAGTCAATGTGCTATTCAAATGCTGAGCGATTTGTGAGCCTGATTCTAGAGTTTATGTGAATGCTGTGGCGGGAGTCTCCTGCTCGAGATATTCACTTTCGTACTTATACTGGTTATTTTCAGGCAGCGGGAGGCGGAGCAGCGATCACCCTCCCTCCATGCGAGGTGAATACGCTCGCAGATATCGAGGCGATGCTTTCGAACAGTTTCGGTTCTGCAGCGCTTCGAGAAAAACTTGCCATCGCTGTTGAAAATCAAGGGTATGCTTCGTTTTAAGATTTGTGGATATTTCATTTCAGTATGGCCCTTTGTTTCATGTCTTTTTTTTTCCATAGATAATTGGCACTTAGATGATGATTTTGCCTTCAGTGAAACCGTTGTATTGGTTGTTGGGACTATGAATGATTTTTGCACTGCTTACACAACTGAACATGACTTGGTAGAAGTTGTTGGCCCTGTTCTGTCGCTCGTTGACAAAAATGTGGGCAGTTCCTCGAAAATGGAGCAATTTAAAGGCTTTTATTTCCCTTATGATGCCCCTTTACTGTGGAACGAATGGCTAAAGCATTGATTTCCCCTCAGGCTGGTCGGCATGGAGGACTTGTCACTAAATTGTAAGCGGGGATGATAAAGGATTTGTATATTTTAAACGAATTATATCTTGTGAGAGATGAGAAAGGCAGTTGTGCTAATTGAGTTACGGTGTGCTGACAGTTCAGAAAGCTTTTTTCAGATATGTTGCTAAATTATGTGATGTGTTTCGTATGTGTGAAGATCTGGAACACATCGAAGCGTTGCATACCTTGCACCAAATTGCTCGTAATTTATTCATGCTAAATCGCAATACACTTTTGGAGATTTTGCTCAGCGAAAAGCATTTCAAGTAAGCCGATTTTAGCTACTTTTGTACGTGTATTGAATTAGGATAGATTGAAGTCAGTCTTTTTATTGCAAAGCATTTTTTCATGCGTTAATCTTATTGAGCGATGTTTCCGTGAAATTCATCCGTGAAAGTGCAGTGTCCATTCTCTGTATATTTCCAGAGATATCGTTGGAATGCTAGAATATGATCCTGCTGAGCCAAAACCGCGAAAACACCGAGAATTCCTTTTTGAAAAGGCGCGGTTTCGCGAAGTCCTGCCTATCCACAACGAAGAATTGCGTCAAAAAATACATCAGACATACAGAGTTCAGTATGTCCAGGTAGATACATAGATTTTCATACTTGGGCACTGATGCAGCCCGAGTTGCACAGCCAGAATTTCTTGAAAAGTGACAAAAATTCCTCGGAAAAGATGCCATTTTGACGAATTTTAGAGTATTGACAATATTACTAAGAAACAGTTTTGTTGGCAGGTTTGTTAAAATGACTAGTGGCTCTGAGTTCAAATTTGCTTGTAGGTGAGCTGAATAATCCAGGTCACTTCTCAATTGGCCAATGTTGAAATCTTTTCCAATAGATTGCTGCTGTATACAAAGTGGCGCTGCTGTCTGGTGCCGTTGTATCTACGTTATGAGAATATTACCGCTTAAAAAAAACGAAACAGTGTACGCTAACAGCAAAAAAATACATTCTTTCCTGTCTTGATTTTGCCTCTGTTTGAGTTTTGCAGGATGTCTGCTTGCCGGCGCCTTCATTATTCGAGGAGAATTTACTCTCTGTTTTGAACAGTCATTTATTTTTCAACCGGATCGATATCGTTAGTTTGCTGCAGGTACTATCATATTGCAATTTATGAATGGCGCATCTTTAAACTTTTAGATTTTTGGAGTCTTGAATTTACTCATTGCATCTTAATATAACATAGTTGCGTTGCATATGTTTCAGGACGATAAACAGCTACTCAAAGACTTATTCGATCAGTTGAAGGACTCCGAAACAACCCCTGAAAGAAGGAAAGATTTAGCAATGTTTCTGAAGGAATTTTGTTGCTTCTCGACATCGTTGCAACCAAATGGACCGCAGGGTCGAGAAAGCTTTTATAAGGTGGGACATGATAAAAGTTACAGCTAAAGTAACAGTGTTATTACCTCATGGATAATGTTACGGAAAATTTGTCGGTAAAAAATGGAACAATTTCTTCAGAGCTGTAAATTGTGGTAGTGTTGGGTACAGATTCGACCGAAATTGGGACCTTTTGTAGGACGGTCCACATTGTCAGCAACGGTCTTTAAGTGGCTTGCCGCCAAAACATGAGTAGTTTGTAATTCATTCTGTTGAGTACCTATTAACATTACGTAGCTGTAACATTCTGTTATCATCCATTCTACTTTTGAAGTCTCAGTTTTTACGAATGTTTCTAGGGATGTGTAACATTAGTTTCCTTACTATCGGTTTTTAAAAATCCTGTTATCGGGGCGTTTGGCAATCTATCCGTTTATATGTATGCGTATATGTGAGTGTGCGTGCGTGTGCATGTGTGTCTTTATTTTGTACTTATGTGGGGTCGTCGAACACACTTGATGCGATGTGCTTGATCCTAAGAATGAGGGACACAGAAATTTGCTCAATCAATTCTAGACGCTCATGCAGAACGATGTGTTGGCTACTGTCGAACCATGTATCATGAGCAAGGATGCGCAGACACGAGCGGCCACTGTTGAAATGTTTGTTATGATAGTGGAAATCAATCCGCAGGTGGCGCGTGATTATCTCCTGCAGCAGAGCCGCGGATTTAGCGAAGCAAAAAATGTTATTTTTCCTACCATTATCGTATACTTCCCTTCCCACGAATTCCCGACTTGCACACCTCATCACTGGGTGAGAATGGTAACGGAGTGGACTTTGTCATAGCGCAACAAGATACAGACGCTGACAGCTCCAAGCAAGCCGAGCAGAACCTATGTTGCATTCCCTTCGGCTAAACCGGGCTGAATGTGAGCAGCCCAGACCTTGCACAGTTTTGACTGTGTCTAGACAAAGTCGTCCAGGTATTCCCTCACTTTGCGCAGACTGTTCTTTTTAGTAGTAGGTTCTTTTTCACTATTATTCCTGTGCTTCCTATCATGCCCAAAAAACCATGTTGTTGTGCCTTTCCGCTTATGTTTCTTCATTCACCCTCTCTCGCAGTGTTCACTTTCGAAAAGCGCAAAGGGAACGAGTAAGATGTAAAATGAGGAGGGATGTGGTCAGAGGTTGGTGTTTCGCTGAGGCCGAGGTGATTGATATGTCCATCCCTCGATTACATTTACAGCTGTAAACGCATTTTTAGATGCCAAATCAGTTATTGGCAATCCCAAGATTATCCGGGGGGTACGGTACATTGATTCAATGGTGGTGGAGTGTATTTAGGAGTTTTATCCCCCCCGCGTCACTTGCGATGTCGTGCACAGCTGCATAGCTTGTTACTGGAAGGTTAATCGGCCGTTATTTTCTGTTCGAAGCCGTAAATACACATTGTTTTTCAATTGTTTTTCACGCCTCCTCATGACCGGTATCAGCATACCGCGCTGTGGTGTTGGCTGGATGCAGCAGCTGTAATATGTACCGGCTATCAAATACAACCTGACTGCGAATTGCATCTGCGCTATTTGCGCGACATTAAAAGGAATTGCAGAGTCAGTTGTTGCTCAACAAACTGATTGATTACATGCTAACGGATCGCGATCCAGAACTGACGTCCGCGGCCACAATGGTAAAAGTGATGCAGTCGTTGCTTGATCCTGACAATATGATTGCGACACAAAATGCGAAATCTGAGAGACACGAGTTCCTCACATTCTTTTATCGTCGCTCCATGGAAACGCTTTGTCAACCTCTCTTTGCAAATACGGAGAATGATGCACTAAAAAGAGGCAAGTGGGAGCTTTTGTATTACTTGAGGATGCATTGTTTCGGTCTTTTAAATTTATACTATTCTTGATATGTGTATTCGTGTGTGCTGCAGTGTTTCGTTTCACCTGACCTGCTGTAGAAGCAGTTCATTGTGCGCGGCAGTTGAAAAGTATGAAGATTTTAAAGATTTTTATTTTTATGGGCTAGTTGAGAACCAGCTGAGTCTGCGTGCGTAAACACAGAGAAAGTGACGACGAGAAAAAAGAATTGTTCTGGCGGTATTTTATATGTTTTATCACTCAGAAGCGTTAAAGAAGCGCTGCTCCGTACTTTAGTCTTGTTAAGAAAGGAAGAAATGCAGTCGGCTGTGTCCATTTTTATTCTACCGATAGCTGCCTTTTTCTGCCAGGTTTTGGTAGTTTTCCGCCTACTGCATAGCAGCGAGCTATAAATGGTGTGGCTTCATGGTACCATTTGCCAGTGAGACGATGGGTAGGGGATGGGTATTCATTTGAAAGAATCAGATCCCGGTTTGGGTTTGACGGTACGGTTTGGTTGTAAGACTCACTGCTTTAGAATTGCCATCGTCTAGTCATTTTCTTTGCTTCAATACAGTCATGGTAGGTGTGTTACACGGTGCTGGTAAGTGATTGCTTTGCATTTTCCAGATGATTATCACTGTGCCAATCAACAGGCAATGATTATCGATATACTATGTTTTTGCTTCGAGCATCACGCCGCCCATATGCGCAACTACTGCATCAACAATAAACTGCTGAACCGCGTGCTCGTCCTCCTCAAGAGTAAACATCATTTCCTGGCTCTTAGTAAGTTACATGTAACTCTCAATTGCAATGTGCTACCCAGCCAATGCCATTCTTTTTATTTTTGAAATTCAGGTGCCTTACGTTTGTTTCGACGAGTGGTCCAGTTGAAAGATGAATTTTATTTCCGCTATACAATACGGGATGATGTAATGCGACCGATTGTTGAATGCTTCAAAAGAAATGGTCACCGATACAACCTTTTGAATTCGGCTATAATTGAGCTTTTTGAATTTATACGGATGGTAAATTTTTCACTTGCAGAGTTTTTTTTTTTTTTTTTTTTTTTTTTTTTTTTTTTTTTTTTTT